GTTTAGGGGTGGAGTCTGGGAAGTTGATGAGGTAGGTCAGAAAATTTCAAGCTCTCAAGATTTTACTCCACAAAAGAGATAAAATAGCACTTCTGGGTGAACATAGAGCACAATAAAAATGAGTAAGAGTAGGGACCTAACAGGGTGCCTTCTGGGACAATCACAGAAGATCTGAAGAAAAATCCCAGGAAGCAATTTCCTCCCAGTGTAAACACCTGTAGGCTAGAGACCTCTTAAACAACAAGCAGTAAGTCCTGGGTTTAGCTGGTTTGGGAGGCTGTCTCAGCCCCAGCTATAGGAACTTTTATCTCCAGGATAGTGAGGGGAGTTGGGCATCCGAGCTGGGGAAGATCTAGGGAACCTCTGCTGACAGGGAAAATCAGGCCCAGCTACGCTACGGGGAGCATCAGGATTGAGAAGGAACCAGCACAGTGGTGAGTGCAGAAGCAGTGTGGCAGGCTCACCCCTGGCTCTGAACACTTACAGGAGGCTGGAGGTCTTGGTTTGAGTTCAAGTTCAAAGGGGAGAAATGAAGAGGATCTGAGGCCAAAGGTACCACGTCCCATACACCAGGACTAGAGGTGATTATAAAAATTAAACTATTACAAAAAATAAAATGCACAGGCAAATGAGAAATAATCTAACCATAGTGAGCTCCTATGGGAATAGAGAATACCAAGGTTCATCTTCAGAGGAAGACACTGAGTGCCTGCCCCAAAGAATAATGCTAAATGGTCACGTGCCCAAGACTTTAAAAATCAAATGAGAGAGATTGAGGAAAAACTCAAAAGAAAAATAAGAATAATCCAAGAAAAGCAAGAAGATTATGAAAAGAAAGTCAACCAATTAGAAAAAGAGATCCAGAAACTTTTTTTTCTTTTCTTTTTTTTTGGTTTGGCAATGGGGTTAAGTGACTTGCCTAGGGTCACACAGCTAGTAAGTGTTATGTGTTTGAGGTCAAATTTGAATTCAGATCTTCCTGACTCTATCCACTGCTCCAACTAGCTGCCCCAGAGATCCATAATCTTAAGGAAGAAAATAACTCTTTGAAAATAAGAATTGGACAAGAGGAAGCCAGTGAAGTTACGAGAGATGAAGAAATGAATATATATATATATATACATATATATATATACATACATACTTGATGTCCCTAAGTATATTTGTCCCCAAAGCCTCTATGTTGGGCCCTCTTTTCTCATCTCTACATTCTGTCTCAATGATCTCATCAACTGCAATGGGTTCAATTATCATTTCTATGTAGACAATGATGAAATCTACATGTACAGCTCTCAACTCTGTCCTGAGCTCTAGCACCATCTCATCACCTGCCTGCAAACATTTCTACATGGATGTATTATAGTTATTTTAAACTCAATCTGTATACAATAAATTCATTATCTTCCCACCAAAGTTGCACCTGCTTCCTAAGTTCTTTGTTCCAGTATCTCAGCTTTGCAACTCAGACTCACTTTGACTTCTTCCCTTAGCTCCACCTTTATATCCAGGCTATTGCCAAGTCTTATTGAGTCTCGTACAGCACAAAGGAAGAAATTCTGATTTGGAATCAGGGAACCTAAGTTCAAATCTCAGCTTTGCCATTTGTTAATTGGGTGACTTTAAGTAAATCACTTCACCTCTATGGGCACTAGTTCTATCATCTGTAAGAAAAGGAAATTGGACTAGACGATATCTGAGGTCCCTTCCAGCTCCAAATCATTCAACATCTCTTGAATCTGCCTTCAGTTAGTATGCTGGTTCCAGTTTTCATCACCTCTTGACTTAAGCATCACAGCTGCCTCCTGCTTAGCCTCTTCTTACTAATCTATCTTGTTACTAATTATCCTCCAAAGAGCTATCAAAATAATCTTAAAGCAGAGATGAGGCCAGGACATTCCCGTATTCATTTCAGTGACTATGTATTGACTTTAGGATCAAATTTTAAAACACTAGCCTGGTGTTTTAAACTGACCAGTCTTATTCAATCCTACATCTACAGACTTATTTTGTATTACTGTCTGCTCCTCCTAATGCCCCTCCACCCCCAAACCCGTACTTACATGCGCGCGCGCGCGCACACACACAAACACACAGACACACACACACACACACACACACACACACTGAACATTCCAGACAAACTGGCCTACTTGTTTCCAGCACATGGGATTCTATCTACCTTCCTCCATCCCCTTTTCTATGAGAGATATTATTATTTCTCTTTTATATTAATAACCATTTACCATTGGGGAGATCCAGGATTTTTTCCCTTCCTATTTCCTCATTCTCTACTAAGTCAAATCACCCCCTGAAAAATAGTGTTGATAATGAGATTGGATTAATTTATCTAATTCAGATGCCACCCAAGTAGGGAAGTCCATTGTGTTCTACTTAATGCTTGGGTGGGGGTAGATCTAGATTTGTCTAGATTATGTCACTTTTCCTCTCTCAGACTGGAGGTGGTCTAAGACTAAAAGTGACATAATCAAAGTCACATCTCTAAGCTCCTTATTAGAATAGGTCCACCTCTCATTATAATATTCATTCTTCATTCATTAATGATTGTTAACCAATCAGAGTTGATTGCTGACCTGTTGGGAACAGCCATTCTTCCAAGGGCGTATAAGCATCAAGAAGCTACTAAGAAAGCTGACCAAATGACCAATCTTTTTATTAATTATTCATTAGCCATAATTAATAAAATCTTTACCTAGAAATTATGTCTCTTGAACTTCTACACCTAAAAACTCTTATCTCCTCACCTCTGTGTCTTACAATGGGGAATGAGTAATAAGATAAGAAAAATGGAAAGATTGAAGCTTGAATGTAACAATGTCTTATTCTGGTTACAACATTTACTAGTTGCACGAACCTCATAATGAGGGCTTTTCATGGTCTCACCACTTATTAGAGTTCTCCCTCATGTGAAACTACTCTCTTCTTTTCTACATACATATTATGATCTGCTTTAGAATTTGAGCTCCTTAAGGAGAGAAATAATTTTATTTTTATTTTCATTTTTTTCTTTCCCCACATCCTAGCATGGTAATTTGCACATAGTAAGTGCTTAATTGAATTGAATTTTTGAATAATCTTTCATGCATGTATCTTATTTAAATAGTATCTATTTTAGCTAATATCTCTATATCTCAAAATTCCTAAACATGGGATTCTGTATACAGTAGGTACTTAATAAATGTTTCTTTAATTTAAATAGCATCAGTAGAACAGAATTTACAAACCATTAAGGACTGTACAAGTAATAATTCTATTTTACAAATGAGAAAACTGAGGCTTAGAATGATTAAAGGGCTTGCTCATGGTCATACATCAGCAACTGGGTTTTCATCTAAGGGATATTGCTTCCAGGTTCAGACTTCTTTACACTAAGCAGCATAGTCATCAAATAAATCATTCCTCCACTTAGGTAAATTTAAGTAATCATTATGATAAAAAGGTATGATAACGAAGATCCTTAGATTTGTTATAATCACTGTTGCCATACATGTTACTACCATGTTAAGTCATCCTTTACAAAATGAATTCTTTTCTGATTTCTGAAATGCACCTAGTGTTTGATCTGATTTATTAGTTTAACACAGGCCTCAAACTCCATGATTTCAAAATTATTTGTTCATGTTATTTCACCAGATAATTTCAGTAGCACATCTGTTAAATGTCGCAATGAGCATGAGGGAGCCAAATGTCTGAAGCTAAAGCAAGGGTACTTGCAGCTGCCATCCTCCTGTTTCTACTCTTGCTTGAAAAGTTACAAAAAATGCTAAAACCAATAAGCAAGAAAACTGAGAATTTGGAGGGGAAAGAGAGCAGCTTGGATTCTTGAAAAATATAATTATGGCCCTAAGTCTCATCTGCTTTGCCAGGCTAGGTTATTTCAAAGGCCTTTACTTCAAACCACTTCAGGTTTTGAGTAGGATCAATCAATTAATAAAACAATATTCAATTCAGCAACACTTTCAGTTGTCTACATGTTCCCCAAAAGATGGCTATAATCCATTCTTTCCCTAGTCTCTTCCTTGAGTTCTATCTCATCTCCCTATTGGCCACATCTAATCTATCTGTCCTACCTGAAACTTGGACTCAATATGTCAAGTCCAAAAATTAATCATCTGTACCTCCTACCCCCAAATTGACCTTCTTCCATACTCCTACCAATGATACTATCTCCCTCCCAATCCTCAGACTTTCTTCTTTGCAATTAATTATATTAACAGCTGTTCAAAAGCCAATATTATAAGGATATACTAAACATTTCCAGGGGTTCTTAACCTTTTCTGTCTCTTATGACAGACAAATGATACAGCAGAGTGTTCAACCTGGAATCAGTAAGACTGAGTTAAATCCAGCCTCACACTAAATATGTGACCCTAGGCAAGTCACTTAACCTGTTGACTTCAGTTTTCTCATCTAAAAAAAGGGGAGAATAATAGCACCAAACTACCAGGGTTGTTGAAAGGATAAAAAGACATAATATATGTAAAATGATTTGCAAACCTTAAACATATATAAATTATTAGTTGTATTATATATTATATTGCTGTATGTTAAGTATAATACTATTTACTATTTTTACATACATATACACTTAAATATGTGTATATGTGTGTATGTGTATATATATAGATATATAGATATATAAATGATTATGATAGCAATACATATCATAGTCCAGTCTGGTGAAAACTATGGATCCCTTATAATAATGTTTGTTGCCTAGAACCAGAATTAAAGGGGATGTTAAATTTCAGTTAGGTATTAGCAAAAATAAAGATGTAATCATTTTTCCCATTCAAATTCATGAACTTCTGAAATTTGTTCATACTTCTTTTTGGGTCTGTAGACATCAGGTTAACAACTGCTGGTATAGACATGTATACCATTTAATGAATACATATTAACTGAGCAGGGACCCAAAAAAAAAGTGGTAGATAAAAAGCAAATCATAATTAAGGCTTCCAAAGCAAAATTCCGTATTTTACCTGAAAAGTTTTTGTAATCCACTAGATCAAACATGACAACAGCTACAGCTGACCAGGTAATGATTAGAGCAATAACCAGAAGCCATGCGGCTGGAGAGCTGAATGTCGTGACAATGTCTTCTGTGACTGATCTCTTCAGCATTTTTCCAGACGTCCTGGGCACTGATCCATTTTTGCCATCTATCACAGTGGTGGTTGTAGATGTGTGACCTATATAAACATTAAATCATAACAGAAGATACAATTTAGAAATCTATAGATTATCCATCCTAAAGATAACAAAGAGTATATAAGACACTTTTTTCGCTTAAAACATGATGAACTACATTCCATTTTCAGTACTAAGAAATCATGAGTTCAGCCAAAATGAAAACTATGATCACATCATCTTATAACTTCCCCTTTGGATTTCTTTATTTCTGTTAACAGTCCCATCGTTTTCTCAATCACCCAATTTTCATAAACTTTTTTTAAATAATCTTTTATTTCTTTGCTCCCTATCAGTTGCCTAATTCTTCGTAATGTTATTCCCATCCCTCCCGTTTCTTTCTGTTTCTAATTCTACTATGCTACTTCAAGTCAATAGATAGTATCAGGCCACATTCCTATGGAGGGCAGCTAAGTGACACAGTGGAAAGTACATGAAGCCTGGAGTCAGGAAGTCCTGAGTCCAAATCTGATCTCAGACACTTGCTAGCTGTGTGGCTCAAGATAAGTTATTTGACAGTTTCCTGTTAAAAATGTACTAGAAAATTAAATGACAAAACACTCCAGTATCTTTGTCAAGAAAACCTCAAATGGGGTCACAAACAGTTGGACATGACTGAAACAAATGCTCTTTGAGTGTTTTGTACTTAAAATATTAATGTTTTTAAATTAGAATTTGGGGGGCAGTTAGGTGGCGCAGTGGATAGAGCACTGGCCCTGAAGTCAGAAGGACCTGAGTTCAAATCTGGCCTCAGACCAAACACTTGACACTTACTAGCTGTGTGACCCTGGGCAAGTCACTTAACCCCAACTGCCTAAAAATTAAAAAAAAAGATTAAAAAAAAAGAATTTGAATTCATGTGCACTATGCTTCATGCTAGAGTTGTAAAATGATTGGAATCAGGACAGATGTTTAATAACTATTTTATTTCTTTAAGTTTACTTTTTTCAATTAATAAACTTTTAAAATCTATTTTCTGTCTGTAACTACTACCTTCACCCCTGCTGCTGAGGGAAGGAAAAGAAAGAAAACAAAAACAAAAACAAAAACAAAAACAAAAACAAAAACAAAACCTCATAATAAATAGGCATAGTCAAGCAATTCAAAATGTCTCATTGGCATATCAAGTTCATAACCTCTTTGTCAGGAAGTAGATGACATTTATCATCATCAGTCCCCTGGAGTCCTGGCTAGCCATTGCATTAATTAGAGTTCTTAAGTCTTGCATACTTGCTCACTTCTACAATATTGCTGATATTGCATAAATTATTTTCCTGTTTCTGCTCACTTTACTCATCAGTTTTTTTAAACTACACCTTTTTGTAAACTTTATACACAATAGTGTTCTATTGCATTTCTATATTATAACTTCTTTAGACATTATTGTTGACTTGATCCTCGGAAAGGGACAGAGCAGAATCTTTCGAGTCGTCTCAAACAATGAAAGAGTAGTTAGGAATAGGCTCAAACAATGCTAGGAATCAAAATTAGATCCTCTGCAGCCTTAGAGAGGGTAAATGAAGGCTGTTTACTGCCAGCAATCTGGTACACTTATCACCTCACACCTGGTCTCCTGCAATACCTCCCACAAGTTTCTCCTCATTCCAGTCCATCCTTCACTCAGCTTTCAAAGTGATCTTCCATAAATGCAGGTTAAACCATATTACCCCCCCCTTAATAAACTACAATGTCTCCCTATCACCTCTAGGATCAAATATAACATCTTGATTTTAACATTTAAAGTTCTTTGTAACCTATCCTCCCCTTTTCCCCCAACATTTCTAGTTTTCATATACATTACCCACATACACGTATGTATTCTGTGATACAGACACTGGCCTTCTTACTCTTCTTCCCACAAGAAACCTCATCCCTTGACTCTGGGCATTTTCACTGGCTATGCCAATACATGGAATCTCTCCCTCCTCATCTCTGCCATCTAGGTTCCCTGGTTTTCTTCAAGCCCCAACTAAAATCCTACCTTCTATAGGAAGGCTTTCCTGATACCCATTAATTCTAGTGCTTTGCCTCTATTGATTATTTCTGATTTTTCTTGTATATAGCTTGTTCGTACTTAGTTGTTTGCATATTATCTTTTCATTAGACTATGAGCTCCTTGAAAGCAAAGGCTATATTTTACCTTTCTTTGAATCCTCAGTGATTAGCTAAATGTTTGGAACAGGTTGGTAGTTAATAAATATTTACTGACTCACAACCACACATGCGTGCGTGTGCGCTCGCGCGCACACACACACACACACACACACACACACATATTTATGCCTCTTTTACAGAACAGTCAATTCTCTTTTCATTTTTTGCATTACTGTCATTGCATTTCTCAATTTTTCCTGTATTATTTGATTTTTAAATAACTTTTTGCTCTTTTTTTATCTCTTTAGCTTTTCTAGGAATTTTTTTTCAACTCTTGTCCAATCCACATTTCTTTTTAAAAGAGGTTTTGCTTACAGATCTTTTCAAATTATTGTCTTCTTCTGACGACTTTGTGTCTTTAGTTTCCCTGCCACCATATAAGCTTTGAATGGCTATGTTCGATCTTTTGTTATTTGTTTATTTTTCCAGCCTATTTTTTAACTTTTCATTAGAATTGGACTCTTTACCTCAGGGTGGTGGTGGGAGAGTGGGAAATGGTTAGTTTCAACTTCTGTTGCTTGATCTAGGTGCCTTGATCTGGGCAGATTTTAGTGCTTCCAAGGTTGTGTGATTGAGAGAAAGGTCTTGTCATTGCCTTCCTACTCTACACTCTGGTCCTTACCCAGGTAGGGCCCCTGCTCCCTCATGACTGTTGCTGCTTCTCTCCATTCCATAGTTACAACCTTGAACTGGTAATTGGAACTGGGTAATAGGCTACAGAGTTGTATGTTAGGTTGGGGTGATATTTTGATAGAAATAGCTATTCATGAGTTCATTAAAGAGCCCAATTAAGTTTTTAATGATATTCCAAAAGAATTTGTTCAATGTTAGAATAAAATGTAATATTGGGCATCATCAGGTATTAATTTATTATCAAGTTACTATCACTTTTGTACTTCAAAAATCACATCTTATAACTAAAAGTGAATAATTTCAATATTATTTACTACATGCATGTCCATTATAATATACTTATTTTATTGGTCTGAGTAATATATTTTCACATTTGAGAGGAAATAGAATTTTATTCTAGAAAAAGAATAAGACCTTGACCAAAATTAAAAGATGAAAAATAAGCAAAGTGACTTAACGTTACATCATATCATTAAGATGCAGACAATCAGAATTAATGGCCAGTTGTAACAGGAGCAAGGCATGTATGTTGGCTGTGTCAGTTGTCTGGTGATGTAGAGATGGGGACTGGACAAGAGGAAGGGAACAAAGATAGCAGAAATAGATAACATAGTTATAAAGAACACCAAAGGGCATCAAAGCCAAAGGATAAATCAGGAATGGGTCTCAAGGATAAATTACACCAAAGGAATGAATAGAGGAGCCAAGAATGTGAACTAGATGAGATATAAACCAGGAGAAGTCAAGATCAAATACCTGAAGAGCAGGTCATATGTGTACAAAGTTAAAGGACACCTATAAAAATAAGGTTCTGTTTCAAGGCTTTCTTGATAAAGTTCTATGCAGCACCGTAATATGAAATGGAAGGAGAGAGAAAACATATTAAAATAGATATGGGATAGAGAGGCAGTTAGCCTGGAAGGGGAAAACAAAACAAGAACCTGAAACAGGCAGGAAATGTGGGATAGTCAGGAGTGAGCTGGCTGTATAACCTGAACGGAAGGAAAATGATGAAAGTGCCAGGTTCAGGTTCTGGAGTATAATATATATTAGGAGTGACATGGAAAGAACCTGACTGTAGGAAAGCAACATGATTAAGGACTGAAGATGGAAAGAAGATCTTACCATAGGCATGAAAGAAAGTAGAGAAATGTAACTGAAAATAAGGAGAGAAAGAAAATTAATACCTGGCCACCATTGATGGGCCTGTTGCAAATTCAAATTGTTGGACAGCAACATGATTTTCACTGATGCCTAGAAATCTCTTTTTTTTTCTTTGCTAGGCAGTGGGGTTAAGTGACTTGTCCAGGGTCACACAGCTAGTAAGTGTTATGTGTCTGAGGCCGGATTTGAACCCAGGTCCTCCTGACTCCAGTGCCGGTGCTCTATCCACTGCATCACCTAGCTGCCCCCCTAGAAATCTTTCTTGCTCATTATTTGTTAATTTCCTAACACACTTCCAATCTGATCTGATTTTTATAATTTCAGTCAAAAGGTGTTTTGTACTTGTATTCTCCTACTTATTTCTTCCAGCAGCTTGGCTCAAAATTCTACTCTCTCTGATTAATCTTTAGTCTCTACTAGTTCCTTCCTTGATGCCTGTAAGCAAGGCAAGGTCTCCTCATCCTTAAAAATCCTCACTTGAACCTATGAATTTCTCAAATTTCATTCTTTATGTGAATTCCTTCCTTTCATAGCAGAAATCATAGAAAAAAAGCTTTCTATAATCTTTGCTTCTACTTCCTATCCTCCTACTCATTTCTCAGCCTTTCAATTTAGTTTGTGACCTTATCAACTCAAACTGCTCTCTCTAAAGACTCCAGTAATCTGTTAAATGCCAACTCCAATGACCTTTGCTTAGGTCTCAGCTTTCCTGCCCTCTCTATGGCATTTGACCCTACTGTCCACATTCTCTTCTCTGAGCTTTCATGAAAGTTCTCTCTCTTGGTTCTCCTACTTCCATTTTCTCCACACAGCTGCCAAACTGACATTCCTGAATCACATCTATGTTATTCATGGACTTTCAATGACTCCTTCCTGTCTCCAATATAAATATAAACCACATTGTTTACTACTTGAAGGCCAATATGGCACCAGCCTACATTTCTAAGCCAATCATGGATTAGAATTATTTAGACACCATACCCTTTCATGTGCTCAATATTCCAAACAAGTTGTCTTGTTGTTCCCCATATACTCCATGTCCCATATATCC